TTTGCTAATTGTTTTTTTGCAAGTCTGAATTAGGATTTCTTAGTCGGTCGAATTCTTTAAACAACATGCAATTTTTGTCTTCTGGTTAGTGCTAATAATTTCCAGAAATAAAAGGAGAAAGTTCTAAAAGTCCAAATTAATAAATTCACTGAGCACACCCATGTGTTAAGGGTCAACCATGTTTCCAAGCACCAGGAGCACAAATATGGTTAAGACGCAGTCACTACGCTTGAAGAATATACAGTCTATTGAGGAAGATAGAAACAAAACGAACTGCTTTGTGCTGTGGTGACAGTCACAGTTGGGTCTGAACGAGGTGTGTGTTGGGACAAATAATGTCATGGTTAATTCTGCTTGGGGTAGGGTTCCCAGGGGGAGGAGAAACTTCATGGAAAGCAGTCGAATTGCAGCTTAGACAAGGGGCAGATACTTGCTCTGTAGGTAGAAGGCGTTTACCAAGTCAATACAGATTTGAGTTTGCATGGCACATGTAAGGGGCTGATATGGCTGGCTGGAGATAGAATCAGTAGGACCTGAGTGATGGGGAGAAGTGGTGAGGGCAGGGAAGGGAGGTGTCCAGGATGGGCTCCAAGGCTTTTAGCTTGGGTGTATGCCAGGTCCTGTCTGAATCATAGTAGCGTCTTAACATTCGGTCCAGTCAAATCAAGGTGCTTGCTTGGAGACTAGTAGGGGAGCCTGAGCAGAAGTGATCACAGGACCATGCTGGGCTGAGAGTGTAGCCTGCCTGCCTGTGGAGGGGCCCCCGGAGACTTCCTGGGGGAGGGGATTTTTGAACTGAGCCTTGAAGGAGGCCTTATGAGGCAGAGAGGGTTGGAGGGGAGAAACGTGGGTAGGAATGAAGGTGTTTCAGATCTGGGAAAAACTCACACGTTGGCACAGGGGTACAGAGCCCTTTGGTGGCCTCTGGGAAGTAGCAAAGGGTGGCTGGAGAAAAAATATTTGACATTGGTGGTCAGTGTGTGTGTGTACATTGTATGCACGGGGGTGTGTGCATGGGTGTGTATATGCATGCACAGTGCGCGTGCATGGGGTGTGTGTGTGTGCATGATGTATGTGTGTATGCACGTGCATAGGTGTGAGTGCGCATGGGGGGTGTGTACATGGGGTATGTGTGTATGTGCATGCATAGGTATGTGTGTGTATACATGGATGTGTGTGTGGCAGGGAGGTTGGAGAGGGAAGCAGACAGACAGTGACCCAGTGAAGACAGGCTCAGTCAGTTTAACAGCAAAACTAGGCATTCAGACGATGCCCTAGGAGGTGGGGAGAAGATGGAGAATTAAAGCATGGGAGTCGCATCACCAGATTTAGACCTAAGAGTCATCACTCTGCTTCAAAAACATACATGCTGGGAATTTTGGTAAACTTAAAAAAAAAGATCAAGAATAAGCAACTGAGCGAAAGAGAGTAAGCAGTGCCGGTGATCTTCCGATTGTCTTTCTTCTCTCCATCTTGTCGGTTGGGATTTTCTGTGCCGTGCTGTGTGTAGGGTAGGAGGTGTGGCTGCCCCCAGTACCAGCCAGGCTGGGATGGAGTTAGGGCTCTGTGGCCAAAGGGAAGGCTGGCAGGACCTGCCTCCTGGACTAAATTGCTTGTGTCGCCCCAGTTGATGAATGTCTCTGACATTGGGAGTAGCAATCCCATCAAGACACCTTCATCGGATTTCACTCTTCATTGACTCAAGAAGCGAAATATCTTAGAGCCAGAAAGCTTAGTCCCTTGCCTCGACTGGGTTGGTTATTTTTTTATGGTTTGCACTGAATTGTGGGGATTGAAATATACACACAATAACCAGGGAAGTTATACCTCCTTAGGCTCACATATACTTGTACATTATTTTGTGTAATTTGGCCTATGGACAGAGACTATAGGTTTGGGTGCCGTCTCCGCTAGGGTCCTAGTGGGGTAAGGAACACCTGGGTTTGCCTGGATATAATAGGTATGTTTGTCTCATTAGAATTGGGAAAACTCAGAATGGCTTGGCCTTTGTACCTCTAGTCCCCAAGGCATCCCAGGAGAAGTCAGACGTGATTCCTCCTGGGCATAATCCATGACCACCTGGCATCAGGTATGAGAGAGAGCTTTCTCCACTGCAGGTGCAGAGTCAAGGACAGTGTTTCATGGGGATTTTATTTATAAAACTGAGCCCTGATGGTGAAAATACAGATGCCAAAATAGGGGAATTAAAATGGTCCTAGAGCAATGCAGTCATTTTCAGGAAAACTTCAACCTGACGGATATATATGGAGGAGCTTGGCCATATTTCTTTGTGACACTGGGCAGTTCACTTCTGCTATGTGTGTCCAATTCCTCATTTATAAAATAAAGTTCTTAGACTAGATTCATTTTGAGGTATTTTCTGGCTCAGATAGTCTGTGATTAACTGCTAGTAACCGCTGCAGTGGTCAGCACGCAGGGTACCACCCACTTACCCAATAAGGATATGTTGAGCATCCTTGATGCACCAGGCCCACTAGGAAGCACTGGCCAGCTTCACCTCTTTGCCTGCCCTTAACGCGCTTGATAGTGAAGTTCAGGTCCAGAGACGGGGATAACCCACCACTCGCTGGTGATTAATAGGTAGTTCTCTATCTTTTCCTCAAAGCCAGTGGCTCAGTGCTCACTTCTCCCTTGTCTGCCTTTGGCTGAGCTCCTTCAGGCTTCCTTCCTCTGGGGCATCACTGCACACGGTTATGCCTGCTCCAGCAAAGCTGCCCCCTCTTTGGACTTCATTGCCGCTTTCTGAGAACTCAAAACAAGAATTGCTCCAGTTGTGGCAACTCACGCTGGGGACTGACCCAGGAGAAGGGCTGCCGGACGCCAGAAGTGCTGCCTGTATTTGCTCTTTCATTATCGGCATCAGACAGTCTGCTCTGCGAATGATGATAAATGTGTGGTGTTCTTCTGAAGGAATCACGTCCTCTGAGATTAACCCTGTGCCAACAGCCGGCTTGTCCGCTGCATGGCATCCCCTCCCCTACAATCCCCTTTTCAGTAGTCCAGGACACACCTTGAAAGAAGAAAGTGTGTTTGGTTAAGGATAACAGGAGACCTCATGTCCATGTGATTTAGAAATGCAAACAGTAGATGTTTTTATTCCAGACAGAGAGGCAGGGACAAGGTGGGTAGCTGCTCTGGAAGCGGGGAGATGTTGGAGAGAGGAGCCCCAGTGACAAACGTGCAGGTGCCCCAGCAAATGTTCAGGCTACTCATCTAGGTGGGAGTGAGATGGATTGAGGAGGAGTCATCCCTGGACACACTGCAGCTGTGTGAATGTTACCACGCACCTAGCCTCCCGTTGTCTCCATCACTGTGGGCAAGGCTCTTTGCCAACTTGGCTTTTGTTGCTAACGTTAGGAAAATGAGTCATCTGGACCAGGCCATCTCCAAGTGCCCTCGTAGAACTTCCTCTACCAGTTCATTGGTCAGACAGGCTCAGCCCTACAACCCGTCCAGCCTGTGATCCCTGATGGCTCCAAGTGTTGTGCTGTGGGCACGTGGTCCTCCTCTCGATGTCAGCCTCCAAGGCAGTTCCCCAAACAGACCTTCCTGCTCTTACTGCCTCCCCCACATCGCTGGGGCAGGTTTGAGGTAGGATAAGAACCAAGTTGGTGGGTGCCGTTTCTTTCTCACTTTCCTTCATTTGGAAGAGGGTAGGTTATGTCAGATGCCAAACCCCAATTCCTGAGGAGCTGGAGATCCATTCCACACCTGGCAGAAAAGATGTCCTCCTTGGGGCCCATGAGTTCTGGGGAGTTCAGCACCATTCCAGACCTAGGGCTTTAAAATTAAGTCATATTTCTATGGCAACGGTACTTACACCTCCATCTTTTGGGCCAAATGATAATGATAACAGCAGGTACCAGTTTTATTGCTTCCTATCTTCCAGGCATTATACTGAGTCGTTTACATACATCAGCTCATTTCAATCCTCATACCATCCCCTTGAAGGAGATACTATTCCCAGCCACCCCCCCCCAGCCCCATTTTACGGATAAGGAAACTGAGATTTACAGGGTGAGATATCCTGCTGCAATCACACCGTAAGAGGCAGAGCTGACTTTTGAACCTGTGTTTTCTGACTCTGGCACCCGAATAAACACCTTGCAGGACTGCCAGAGCAAAGCACTTCAAGGGCACAGTACCCGCCTGATTGATGGGCAGCTCACACTCACTTGTCCTCCACCCAGAACTCGCCCCTCAGCTGGGAGAGTGGCTCTCAGTGGTTTGCTGGGAAAGCAGCCTCAACTAAGAGAGAAAGGGAGGCCGTAACTGCAGGCCTTTATTTCGGTGGTTTATGATATGGTGATGGGGTTCCTTCTGTCGACATAAGCCATCCTAATAGCACCATTTATCATTATGACAAAGGTTAGGATAGGGGGAGACTGGAGCTGGAATGAAAGAGTAGAATTATGATGATTTTAGCAGTTGAAAGTGACATCACCTCAGAACCGGGCTATCGAATGGCAAATTGAAAGCCGGACTGAAATTGCTTTAAAACGTATCCAGAGATGGTTTTCCACAGCTGTGATAAAGTCATTTGGTTGTGTTTGGAGATGCATTTCTATCTAGACTGTTCTCTGAGTTGTCTCTGCACCCTCCCACTCGGAGGCTGCTGGTCGGCCCTGGAGGCGTCTGAGGCTCTGGGTGCTGTTTGGGGGCACCTGTGATCTGCCACACCCCAGATGGGGCGCTGGGGAAGCTGACGGAGTCATTCTCTCATTGTCTTTTTAGTGTGTTGTGAATGTCTCTTCATGGCAATAAGCCATGTGTTTACAACATTTTTCATGGCCACATTGCTTTCCTCCATCCGTCTGGTGGGTTGAACCTAGGCTTTTGGAACTGCCTCCTGCCCACTGTCAGCAAGTTGGAACAAATCGGGGTGCTGGCCAGGGGCCTTCAGGATGTGCCTGGCTAGGAGGAAAGACCATGGAGACTGGAGCTTCAGTTACCTTATGCCCTCTTTTTTTCATCCTCAGGCAAAAGAAGGGGAATGTAGCCCACAGACACTGGGCTGGACCTTCGAATCTGGTCAAGTGCAAGCCCTGTCCCACGGCACAGTCAGCCATGATCTGCGGCTCCGACGGCCACACCTATACGTCCAAGGTCGGTCTTCTTTGTTCTCTTTTTTGTCATCAAAAAGTACTCTGTGTCTGTTTGTTCTGACAAGGCTCTCTGGGCCAAAACTGGGGCCTGTGAATCTCGGTGGACTTTGGGGCTTGCCCTTGAGAAGCTGCCACATGAACAGACTCTTTGGCCTAAGAGACAAGATAAAAGTATTCTCTCCTATGTAACTGGAGTGACCAAGGCCTTAGGGGAAGTGTGATTCTGAGAGTGGTGTGTGATCCTGAAGTGAATCTAGGCCAGCTTCCTGGAGGAGGTGAGGAAGTGAGCTGTTCCAAAGCTCAGCTGATGGGGAGCAAAGACATGAGGGAAGCCCAGGATGCCTGCCTTACAGACAGCATGGTGATAGGGAGGTGTATGATGTCGGCACACATTTAAGCTGCATTTATTGTGTATCTAGAATGTATCCAGCACGACACCAGGACCTGGGGCTAGAGAGGCTGCTGTTCCTTTCTCTGGGGACTTCAGGGCTTACAGTCTAATGTGGGGGGGCAGGGTTGCTAGTATGGTGACAGGTCATTTTAACTCAAACCAGTGAAGAGAAAATGGTTTCATAGAAAAAGGGACTAGACATAAAGTGGGTCTGTTTATTCTTACTGGAGCAAGGAGGAGAAGTTTCACAGAGGAGGAGCATTTCATCTGGGCTGTAATAAAAGGAATTGCAGGCAGGGAAGCAGGGCTCACTAGGGTGGAGGAAGGAGGTGACCATTTGTTCTTGGAACTACAGACAGTGTCCTCGGGCTAAGGTTGTCCATTTATGTTTGGGAATGGGTACATTTCGGTGGGATAATGAACAAAAGAAACTACAGAATCGACAAGGGTTTGCTTATTCTCTTATTCAACAAATATAAATCAGCACCCGCTCCCACACGCTTAGTGCTAGGCATGGAGAGTTGTGTGTGTGTGTCTGAGACAGGGTGGGGGGCGAGGAGTGGGTCTCTGACCCTCCCATCCCCTCCAGCCAGAGCTGCACCGCTTTTATCTCTCTTCTTGTTTTCTCTGTAGGGATCATTTGCAGAAGGGAGTCGGGGGCTGATGAGAGCTGTAACTGGTGACTCCCTGGTCACTTGTGGCCACGTTGCCTTGTGGTCCTTGGGCTTGGGCCTTTACGCTGGTCCCACCTCTGTCCCTCCCCCACTGCACACATAGCTTCCGTTCTCTGCATCCCCTCACCGTCCTGACCTTTACACCGTGGAGATTGCATAGGCCTGGGGGTCCCTCACTGCCTGCTGTCCTCAGAAGCTTACTAGGATTATTACAAGTAATAATAATAATTATGTGTTATTATTCACCGAAAGCCTGAGTCATGTACTTTTACTCACTGAAAGTAGATTTTTATTCTCTCGGATTTTCACAGTTTTCTAACCAAAGGGAATATATGTAACAAAACGGGAAGCCAGAAGGTTCATCTAACTTGCACCCAGACCCGTGTAAGCTGCTTTAGGATATCAGTATCATAATTACTGCTTTGTAGTTCCTTTGTTCTTTCAACAGGTATCACTAGAGCCCTTCTTATGCACCAGGCCCTGTGCCAGGTGCTGGGGAAACTTATGATATAGTGGAAATAAAAAAGCTGGCTCTTCTTCACGGCCAGAGTCAGTAAGCCATACCTCCCCAACGTCAGACCTGCAGTGTGAATTACAGCGTCTCTGCCCAGGGTCACAGCCAGAACGTCCTGGCTCAGTCGCTCAGCCCAGCTTCACTGAGTGTGCCTACCATCCCCGCTTCGCGTCTCTCCCTGACCCCGACGGAACCGCAGGCTTGCTTCTAACGCCCTGCACTGTCTGGACTAGTGCATCTATAATAACTTTGATGACTCAGATCTGTCCCCCACTCCCCAAAGGCAGATCAGGCCATCATTGTCTTTCAGCTAAAGCCCAGCTTCTAGGTATGTGAACAATTGCCTGGAGATTCTGTTAAAATGCAGATTATGACAGAGCAGGTCTGATGTGGCGCCTGAGATTCTGCATTTCTAACAAGTTCCCAGGTGACGTCCGTGCTGCTGGTCCACGGACCACACTTTGAGTAGTGAGGACTTTGGTTTTTATAGACACCTCCTAACGGGACTCTTTACCTCCCGTCTGCCTTTCGCCAGCCCCCCAAATCCATTTCCACATGACATAAGCGTTGAGGGTCATTCTGCATTAAAAGTCTGTTTGTACATCCCCCCCCCCACTTAAAATGTATGGATAGCTCTCCTCTTGCAGTCGCAACTAAGCTGAGACCCTTCACCATCAACAGCAAAGCCCCCCAGAGTCTGTCTCCGTAATCACCTACTCTAGACAGATCCTTCATTCGTTTGTCCAGCAACTATCTCTTGGACACTTGTCATTGTTCTAGGCACTGTGCAGAGCATGGAAGGGCAGTGGGGAACCAGCCCGACGCCATCCCTGCTCACTTGGAGGTTACACTCTGGTAGGGGAGACAGACAGAAATAACTGACCAAACAAATAAATAGGTAACTTCAAATTTTGGTAACTGGTACCAAGGAAATACCTGTGGTGCTCTGAAAGAGAGACAGAGTGCTTTACAGCTTCAAATGCCAGCTACCCCTGACGCCTGAGCTACAAGGAGCAGTCGTAACCTGTCAGATGTGGCTTGAGATGCTGCCAGTTGCCCAGGGAATGTCTCTGCAAATGTTTGCTGGTCAGGGCCCCCCTGCAGTTTGAGCAGGAAAGTTGGCTTTTTGTGTAAGAGAAGGTTGCCTGCTGAGAAGGCCTTTCTGAGGAGGTGTCCTTTAAACTCTGAGAGGGGGCATTGGTAGAATGTTCTAGATAGAGGAAATAGCATAGGCCGAGGCTCTAAGGCAGGATGATGAGTTTGAAGAACTAAGAGGTTGCCCTACTGGTGGCTGTGACAGTGAGGGGAGAGGCGCAGGAGACGAGGAGGAGAGGGCAGATGTGAGGACAGTCCAAGAGGAGACATTCAGCCAAAGCTTGGAAAGTAAGCAGGTGGTCAGGCAATGCCAGGCTTGCAGGACATTTGCTACTGTAAGTGCCTTCTTGCCCGTGTCCACCTTAAGTGGCAGACTTAAGAGTGTGCGTGGTCCTAGAGGTAGAAACAATGCCTGTCTACCTTCACCAGGCACAGGACACACAGTGGGTGCTCAGCATCACGGATAAGAGACAAGAGCCTCTGAGGACTCCAGCTGAGAAGGAATGGTGAGATTCCAGTCTGTGCAACCCTTCCGGGATTTGAGTGAAGGGGTTGCAGAGAGCTTAGTGATTGAGAGAAATAAGCCATCCCCAGCCTGGGCCAAGTTGCTTAGCTAAACACCCAGCCTGGAGCCCTGGCAGAGAGAGGCTCTTTGCAATGATTCTGTCTTTGTGAAGATCCAGTTTGTGCTGTTCAGTTATTCCCTCCAGCTCTGGAGTGAACTGTCTGATCCTGGAGCCTGCGATTAGAGACGAGCCATGAAATGTCAGTGAGTGATCAGGGCTGTTTGGGCAAGTGGCACGTTGCACATCAAACTCCAGTAACAGCCTGCCCGCTCGCCTGTCTCTCGTTAGCAGAAGGAGCTTCAAATGCCAGGTCGCCCTGACCCCCGAGCTACAAGGAGCAGTCGTAACCTGTCAGATGTGGCTTGAAATGCTGTCAGCTGCCCAGGGAACGTCTCTGCAAATGTTTGCTGGTCAGGGCTCCCCTGCAGTTTGAGCAGGAAAGTTGGCCTTTTGGGTTAGGGAAGGTTGCCTGCTTACAGGTAGTGGTAACTAGCTTGTTTAAGAGGCAGGATCAGGATTTGGAAGGCTCCTTTGCAATGATTTTTCAAAAGAGGAATGGCTTCCAGGTACTGCTGGGCAGAGCCCCAAAGTCTGCCCCAGCCTGTTATTCCTCTAGTGCCCGTGAATTCCTGTACCTGCCTCAGTCCTGAGTTTCCCAGACCTGGTCAGCTGTCTTTTCTTGGAGCAAAAAAAGAGACCTAATGCCTTCTTATCGGAACTTGTAGTGCCTTTCTCCCCATCCTCCACGTGGGGTAGACTGAGGCCCAAAGAGTCAAGGGCAGTGGCAGAATTTGACACTCAGAGTCTCTTGCCCGGATATCTGTGATCACCTGCTTCCAGTTAAAACAAAGGGCAGAGGCTGGTGGAGGGGCAGCAGTGCAGTGGAAGATGGTGTGTGTGTTGGTTTTTGACATTAATCTCCTAGCTTTCTACCCACTTTTAGAAAGCTGGCATCCTCTTTTTCCTAAAGAAATGAATCAAATGACTCATGCTGAAGGCATATGCTGACTGCTCAAGACCTCTGAAGCCAAGACCAATTCTAAACCCTCGTGATGTGCAATGAGACTTCCTTCCAAGGGGGATATTTCAGACTGGTCGGGTTCAGTATTGGAGTGATTTAGCTATTGCCCCTAAACATATGGCCACTTCTTTATTCAGGTTCAAGGGCACATTTTAGTCTCAGACAAAGCTGTCACAGGACCACCAGTAGATGGGCAGTTAATAGAGTGAATGAGTTAACTGTTAGTGAAAAAGTGACTTCCCATTCCCTGGAGTTATGGCCTTTTTTGGGTCATTGGGGTCAAGAAACAAAGGACAGGTGAAACCAGGATGCATGTACAACTGGAAGTGATTTGATGTCATAAATCACGTTCACAAAAATCAGTTTTGGCAAAAATATATTGCAGCCCAGTCCCATCATCATCAAGGAAATCTGTAATAAATAATCAGCGTCCTCCAGGGGAAGTGTTCACCCTTTCACAGGTGGATCTGAAGCCTGTGCGGAGCACTGACAGCAGCAGGGGGAGGAAGGAGCGTGGGTATCAGCTCTGTCCTAGATGCCCAGTGTTTGTCTTTGGCTTCCATCAAACAAAGCTTGCTTTCTGCTTCTGGGCCCTGAACAATCAGAAGCTCCTAGAATGGGGGTGGGGATGTATTTAGAAGTCTCTGTCTCTGTAGCAGGACTCTTCCAGTGTCCTGGCACCAGGGACACCACTCAGAGCTCTGTGACTCCCCCAGATCAAAGATAAAATCCGCAGGAAC